GGAGGAGGGAGTTCCGAGAAACACAATGTGCCTTGCAAGGAACCGCAATCAGTCGCGAAAACAAAAATATGAGAAGGGGGAGATGGGGGGGGGGGCAGCTGGTGACGGCGTGCCTCGCTCTCATGAACTTGCGACTTGTCTCCCCCCAAGCGCAGCAACAACGCCATACCCCCCCCCCCCTTGCCCCTTCACCACCCCCTCCTATATCCCCGGGCCATTGCCATCCCGCGAGCACACTGAGTACTCATGCCATGCGACTAGACGTAATTTAATTTTAGCCTGCAGCAGCAGCAGCAAGCAGTGGCACAGCATATCGCCGCCGGCGGAGACAGAGGCGGCAGCGAGGGCGGGGGCGGAGGCGAACTCGCGCGACGAAACATCGCGAGACGATAAGGGGAAGTCCACATAACATCTGCGTCGCATGCAATTTGGGCGCATGACGGCGGCGCGCCCGGTCGTGACCTCGGTATCCCTTCCTCAGTTTACCCCCCCCCCCCCGATTCCCCCCTTTTCCTTTAAAGCTTATCAGTTGTGCGGGGAATCTGATTTTGTAAGCTGCAACGCGCTGCTGCTCCCCGTAAGCTCTGTGTTGTGTCGCCTGGCGACCAGAAGACCAGGGGGGCCAACCGTAGGGGTGCTTCATTTTATTTTATTTTAAATTCTAGCATTCACCCACCAAACACCAAACAAACCAGGAAACATTAATTTTAAAAAATCCGAAAAAAATCAGAGAAGTTTAGAAAGAACAAAAACAAAAATCAAGAAAGAAAATCAACGGGAAATCGATGTACGCTTGCTTGAATTTTCAATTTATGCATAAATCCAACATGATGATGTACTTAGCGGGGCTAAACTGCGGAGGTTTCCCAACACATCGAACGGACTTACAAGGGAAGGTTCTCCGGTGATAGATTTCAATGGCACTTTAAAGTGTAGTTGTTTGCACTCCTAGAAAAGGTTAGGCACTGGTTTTAGCTGTCCGTAGGGGGTTTAAAGGTCGAATTTAATCAAAAATTCCATTATTTGATGCTTTATCGCCATCTTTGCACGCTCATATCTCCGGAACCGTTTGGGCCATAGTGCCCAGATTTTGCAGGACATTATCTTCCAGTTAGCACTTTCCATGAAAAATATTTGAAGAAAATCAGTGGGGCCACCAAAAGGGGCCCAGGATCCCGTTTTTGCGACCCTATCCGATTTCGCTCAAATTTTCCTCAAATAAAGAACGTGCCAAATTATGATTTCATGATTTCCCTCAAAATCTGGGCGCTGTAGCTCAAACGGTTCTGAAGATATGTGCATGTAAAGATGATAATCAGACTATAAATTTGGCGATTTTTTTTAGTAAAATTCGCGAAAAACGACCATCACACACCCTACGGGCAGCTGAAACCGATGCAAAATCTCCGGAAAACCTCCCCTTGCTAGAAGAAGGGCGAGATGCAGGGGGCTAAGGACGGTTACTGTACACATCTTCTCCTCGATAGAAAACAAAACAAACCGGGGGCCAATCGAAAACCGCGCGCACCGCGATCGGGTGACTCTTGCCCCACCTATCCGCCGGACGAGTGGCCTACCTGCGCGGTGTTCATCTTGTTCGTTGTCTTCTGCTGTCGCTTCTGGACGCCGCGGCGGCTGGACCCGCTATTTTATACGGGCTGATATGGGTCGCGACTGTGGCGACGCGGTTGGCCGGGCGCAGTGCCGGCTGTCGGGCTCGGCGAGTGGGACAGTCCACGGGCGGCGACCATGCGCTACGACACTCCCCAGAAGAGAGGGAAAAAGAAAACACGGTGACGGGTCATCCCCCCCCCTCTCCCTTCTCCCTGACCTTCCCCTCCCTCCAAACCTCACACATTTGGGTAGTGTGAATCCTTGTCTCTGAGAAACTTCCACCTACCACCACCATCACCACCACCCCTCCCTCCCCCCATTTCCTTTTCCTCCTTCCCATCCCATCCTCCGCTCCCCGTCACTGGCGCCTTTGTTTGGGTTCGCGGAGGGGAAGGTTGAGTCACGATAGAGCCACGTGCAAAGCTAGGTTGGCTTTGCTATGCCACGGCCGAGTCGACCGAGTTCCATTATTCGCGGAAAATTCTCTTTTCCTTCCGCTTTCGCAGTCAGGCTTTTGTAGCCAGGAAGCCTACTAGGAGCGATCAGGATCAAGAGGGCAAGTCATCAGTGCGCGCGCGCCCCCAGTTCCAATCCAATCGTCACCCAGCTCTTGGCGCTCGCGGACCGATACCCACAGCGGAGCACCGCCCTTGATGGATACAAGTACTAGATTTCGCTTCAAACGTTAGTAAGTCTTCGCCCAAAGTTTCGCATATTCCGATAATGATAACGACGACACGTCAAATTAACCGGACACGGACTTCCGTAGGTTGCACGATGGAGATCGAGTGATCCCAGCTGGAGAGGATAACTTCCCCTCTAGGTCTCCTCATATCAGGCTGCTTGAGGCGCCGAGGCTGCCGACTGTATCCTGTGTGTGCCACTGCCCTTCCCCACCCCGCTGCTACTGTACGTGCCCCCGGCACCTCGACCAAGGTCATGGGAAGGCCCGTCCGGCCCAGCCTTGGCCCGGACCGGCACCTCCCGGCGCCCCAACCCTTTGCGTCCCCTGCAGCTAAACAAAGCGAAATCCCGTGTTCCTCGGCCTCTCCCCGCCTTTCGGCCACAATCCCTTTAACTCTTCACGGTGCCGTGCGAGAAGCGGGCCAAGGCGGGGCGGGGCTTGGTGTCCTGGGCGCACCGCGCCCACCCGCGCGGGTAAAGTATCCGTTATATACGCTGTGAGCCGGAGCCTCCCCTTCCTCGTTCCTTATTGTGACAGCTCCCATCTGGCAGCTCGGCGTGGAGATGTGCGCCCTCCCCTCCCCGCCCCGCCACACCCGCCGCTTCGGTCTGACGCGTCCTCCGTCTTCCCCGCGCCGCGGGTCCGATCGGCCCTGACGCCCCCTGACCCCACCCACCGCCGCACAGCGGGGCGGGCTGCACGACGGGTCCTGCTGCTGCACGGAGTCGTGAATCAAAACAAAGTGCGCCCAAGGCGCACGAGAGCTAGGGGGGGTGGGGGATGGGAGTGGAAATAAAAAGGGTTGAAAGTTAGCCACTTAAAACTTGTATCGCGGGCGGAGGACCCTGGCCCTGGCTGGCAGAGGAGGGCGGGGCGGCGGGCAGGGTGAGTGAGGACAGAGGAGACAACCTGCCGACCCACCTGCGATCCACCAAGCCAGCGACTTCGCGATCCTTCTTGGTCTCTGGGCCGCCACCACGGGAAGTGGCTGTGTGATGCTGCTGGTCCTGCTGCTGACGCGCCGACTGTGCTGCGCCCCCACCCCCGTTCGTTTTCCGACCGTCATTGGCATTGGCCCGCCCGGATCCCTAATTCGTTTCTGAATGGTTAAGGCGACGAGTATACCGCGCGGAGAAGAGGGTGCGGTACACGGTGTCGCGTGGGAGGAGCACAAGGGGCAGGTCAGGGCTGTGCAAGGCGAGAGCTGAAGGACGAGGGGAAGGCTGCGCGGCATAATGACTAATGGCCGGCTTTCGTAATTTGTGCACGACGGAGAGGTCGTGGGTGTGAGTTTCGACCTCGCCCTCGCCCCCAACACCACTACCACCACCACCCCGCCCAGCTGTTCCAGCCCTCACCGTGGAAGGACGAGACCTGTCGCGGGCGCGGCTGCAAAAGCGCTGACGAGCGAGAGGACCACGACGACGACGGTATATTTCAACTTGTTTCGCGGACGAGAAAAATGGCGAGCCGCCCGCTGTCTGCCGGGTGGGCGGTGCCCCGGCGGCAGACTCCGTCTCGTGATTAATTGCAGACTATCGGACCAGGGCCAGGACCGACCAGCGGGATCGATACTTGGCCCGCTCTGGACCCTCTCGCCGGCTCCTACGACCACTACGCACTCCTGGCGGTGCTGGTCACCCCCCCTCGACTGAGCTGCTCACGGAGAGGAGGAGGGTGAGTACAAGGAGTGAGAGAGAGACTGGGGAGGGGGGGGGGCTTTGGTATGGTACCCCGGGAAGATGTAGATCTCGCGGTCGGTGTGGTCCCGGCCGCTCCTCCGCTCCGCCGCTGCACCCGCCACACCGCACACACCCCACCGGCGCGGCACGTGGGGAGGTTCCCGAAGGGCTCCACTGCTGGCTGCTCTACTGTTTGTGAGAACATGAGAACTTTCGGCGCGAGGGTGAGGGGTACCTACCGCACCACCCTCCACACTCCCTCCCGCCCCCACAGCTCGCGTGCCCGCCTGCAAGCGTGCCCGCTCCAAGTAGTAGCCGCGCCGAGTTCCTCGGATCCCACAGCGCGAAATTCAGTGTAAAAACACGTCCGGAGGAGAAGTGCGAGGGAGGGGGGAGAGAGAGAGGGAGAGAGGGAGAGAGGGATAGAGGGAGAGAGGGAGAGAGGGAGAGAGGAAGAGAGGAAGAGAGGGAGAGAGGAGGAGAGGGAGAGAGGGAGAGTTGGAGAGTTGGAGAGTTGGAGAGAGGGAGAGAGGGAGAGAGGGAGAAAGAGATATAGACAGAGACAGGGAGAGAGAGAGGAGAGGGGGGGGGGCAATAGAACGAAAGGGGACGAGTGAGTGAAAGGGAAAGACAGGGGGTGCGGGAGATAGTGGTCGGGTGGCTACGCGGCCCGCCTGCCGGTCTCTCTCTCTCTCGCGTTCGCGATAAGTGCGCGGGCCGCGGGGCTGTTGTTCCAGGTGTGGCGGGTGATAGCGACGGTAGCGGTGCGCGCCCTTCTCTCCCAGCCGAGCCGAGCCGAGCCGTGTCAACAGAAGGGCCTCCTCGTCCACGCCGTGGCGCGCGCGGACCTGTACGCCGCCTGACTCATCCTGCTGGGATTACCTTCCTATTCCTTCCCTTCTCTCTTCCTCTTTGTCTATCTGTCTCTCTGTCTCTCTGTCTCTCTCTGCGAATCTTCGCTCTCGTTCAACGAGTCCCCGGTTGGGTTGGTGAGAGTGAGAGAACCCTCAGCAGCCCAGCTGCAGGGGACCGCAGCTCTCCTACACCACCTACACGACACTCACCCCCTGCAGCACCCTCCTCCTGCAGGTGGTGGCCTCCCTGCAGGATGCCCTCTCATCGTACGATCTCCGTTCCCCAACCTCCTTCCACTCCCGATCCCGATACGTTAGTGATCTATTTCCGTGACTTCGCTCACTCCGACGCCTGTCCGTCTCCCCGCCCCGCGCGGCTCTCGCGGGTGACGACTCATCATCGCTCCGCTTCTTTGCGGCGTGTCATGGCGAAAGGGACTGCCGCCGGTGACGTCACGAGCAGTCACAGCCTCAGCGCCTAACACCCTCGTGCTAAGCGCAGGACAGCAGCTGGGCCGCCCAGCTGCTGTAGTGTACTGACGACGGCGTCCTGGTGACGGCCCGGCGGCCGACCCCTTGACGAATGTCACGACGGTCATGACCATACCACCGCCGTGAACTTGACTCGGCGCTGCGCCGCGGCGGCGCGGCGCTCTCTGTCCACAGCCTCCAGGAGCTGGTGCGACTTGTTGTTGGCGGCTGACCGACAGAGTCGGGAGAGTCTTCGTGACGGTCATTGCCACGACGCCGCGCCGCGCGTGTTTGACTTTCCGCCGCACTGCGCCCTCCGCGCCCTCTCCTCTCCCGGTCAACACTTGCAGGCGATGCGCGACCGGTTTGCGCCTATTTTAACGCAAAGTCGGGGGTTTAAAGTGCCCCATACTTCGCCGGGCAACAACTGGTGTAGCAGGCCTGCAATGGCGCGTATATAACCACTGCTCTTCTTGTTCCCAAGTTGTGACATTTTTCGTTTGTTCAAGAGTAATGTTAGGCGCGTTTCCGCCGTGTCGCACGCACGCTCGCTCGAATAGCGGGGGCGGGGGTGGCTTTGTCCCCATTGCATGTGCGTGTGCTCCGAGAGAGCCACGCTCCCGCCCCACGCACGCACGCGCGCACGCACACGCGCACGCACACGGCACGTGCTCGAGCTCTCCAAACACTTGCCATTCCGCGTGCCGAACGAACCAACCGCAGCCAGCAGCGCAACACACGCACGCACGCGCGCGCGCACACACACACACACACACGTTGGGATCGCACCCGCAACAGAGCCGCCTTTGTGGCAAAAGTTAGCGGAGCCGACCACACCCTGGCTCGCACACCACCATGGGGCTCGTGCCATGGGCGCGCGGCGGGAGGCTTGACGGAGGCTTGACGGAGGCTTGACGGAGGCTTGACGGAGGCCGCCCCCGGAGGAGCTCTAAGAGATTGCGTGGGTAGGGGCGTTGTACTGATTCTTCTCCCCGTCTCCTCCGTCTCCTCGACGCCTGGCCTCGCCGCCCGGCCTCGCCGCCCGGCCTCGCCCGGCCTCGCGCTTCAAGAAGTGATCATATCCAGCAGCTGTTGGGCCCCAAACACCCAGCAGCAGTGCGCCGCCCCACATCGCCCCCGCCCCACTGTAGCATCCTTGTCTCCCATTCGCACGCCCTCCCCCCCTCCCCACCCCCTCCCCGCCCTCTCATCGCAGGAGTCTCTGGAGGCGCATTGTCAGCACGTCCAAGAACATCAAGGAAGCCCTTGGTAAGGCCGAGGTACTTTGGCAGCGAAAGGCAAGGGCGGGGGGAGGGGAGGGCCGGACGGGGTTGGGGTGGTTCGTCGAGCAGCAGAAAGGGTGGGCTGCTCAAGGACTGCTGCTCAGCCCCGCCCCGCCCCAGCTGCCGGACCAGACCCGCCCGGCCAAATGAAGCCT